TTTTACTGAAAATCCTGTCGGACTAGTTATGCCAGCCGCCACATAAACGTCGGAGGCCCACGCCCAGGCGGAGGGAAGAATTATGACTCGGGAGTGGGTTTCCATGGCAAAGCTTCAGGGAATTTTATGCCCCAAAGTAGCTTGGAGCACATCAATGGCACAAGGTCAATGAAGAGAGCTGTTCTAACCATGAGGAGTGTTTACAAGCATTCTGTAAATGTGATTTAGAAAACCCTTATCTCAAAGATGCCAATATTTAAGATAACAAATGACTCCCGAGAAAAACTAGAGCAGTCCCCTCAAGGGAATCATGTGCTAAGAAAATACAGATCTGGATCTAAGAAATGGGAATCCGGGCTGCAGTTTTGTTCTCAACAAACAGTATCTGTCTTCAGAAGTGGATTTTCAATTTTGGGTTGGCCATCTATGATGACTCTGTAATACCAATCAATTAACTTTCTCCTTGAAAGAGGATCACAGTCCCTTCTAAGACTCATTTATTCTGAAATTGGGGAAGGCCTAGTATTGACCTCTGAAATATGGTTGAAAAAGAGCTCGAGCCGTCTGAACTATGAAATCAAATACAATCTCTCCGCCCTGGCACTCAAGGCCTTAATCCATCTTTGCAGGTGAGTCGCCCAGCGTTGCCCCACAAACCAGCCCAACCTAATCCCCTCTGTCACTCTGATTGTATTATTGCCTTTATCACTAATCTCTACGATCTTGGCTGATCATAAATCAAGACTACCTTTTCAATGGAGCATTTCCTGACCTCTGCAAACATACTAATGGTCCCATGTTTTGAGCCCTTACAATGTTTAAGTTGCTGGTGTAAATGGCCCTGTATTCCACCTAGCACTGTAGTCATTCACACTCTTGATGACGGTTCTCTAAGATGTTGGAAGTTCCCCGAAGAGAGAGGTCAGACCTTTTGTAAACCCAGCAGTATCTGATACGGTGACTCACATACTAGGTGCCTGCCAGGGTGTTGGGTTGATGTAAGCGATATTCGTGAGAATAAGGGAAGGAATCAGAGGCTCCCTTTAAAGTGAAAAACACTCTCAAGAGTTTCCACCCCAATGAGTCAAGAGATAAAAATGGATCTTTCAGTATTCCCAGAAAAGATGCTTCTATACAAAGGGGACTTATTATCTAGGCTGCTTTATCAGTCTGTGAGATGGTTAGCTCCAGGAAGACATTGTCTAAGTCCTCTGCAAAAGTGACTTCATTCATACAGTGCATGATTCTTCGATGCTGTTAACTTCTACATAAAAAGTCCTAAATCACACTTCTCTCCCAAAATCCAGTCCTTTATTTGTCTCCTGAATGCATCCACCTGGATATCCCAAAGGCTTCTCAAATTGAAGATGATATATTTGAAATTCATGATCTCCATATTCTACTTTTCCCTTGGTCTCATCCTCCCAATTCCTCTTCATTCCAAATTTGCCATCTCAGTAAACAGCGTCTTCATCCATCACGCTTCATGCACCAAGGTGTCCCCCCACCTCGCTCTTTGCAGGTATCTGCAGTGAGGTACACCTGGCCCGTGACCCCATGGACACCTACCTCAGGCCACTCCTCCACGTAGCACGGTCTCTGGCTCCCATGACCCAACATGCACTTACCCAGCTCTGCAGTGTGACACCTGAGCTCTTAAGCTAGTCCCGGCTCCCTGTCCAGTACAGTTCCCATGCACCTCTTTCTTTCAGAACCACACATTCTGTCTAAATAGTCTCCCTGTCCTCCACCTTCTCCCCCAGATAAATTCCCCTTCATTTTTAGAGACTCAGCTTAAATATCACCTCATCTTCATGAGCTTTTCCTAACCCCCCTTTTCCACACCTACCCAAGGATATCTTTCACCTTCTCTATTTTATGGTTTTGTTCATTCACTCTCATGGTGTCATGTCCTCTGCCAGGCACTGGGGAGAGAAGAGTGATTAAAAGGCTGACTTGCACTTTGGGTACTCGGTAGTGCTCAGATTATGCAAGAACATTTGGCATATCCATCTCCCTCAGCGCCCCTCCACCATTCACAGATGACGAGTTGATAAGCCAGGCCTGTGTCTCGGTTATTCCTGGATCCTCAGCAACTATTTATCGTGGTCTGGTCATTTCTTGGTGCCTCTGCTCTGTGGCACCTAAAATTACTTAGGTGTTTAGTGGGTGGGTAATAGGTACCTGTTTATCAAAGTGCATGGCTGGATCTTTGTGTAATTAATTCCCTAAGTTCTCAGACAGATGATAACTTGATTTTACAAGTCGTGTAATAGGATTAGCTGTTCTATGCACTTATTGGCAAAACAAGTCCTCTCACTTGCCTTCTTGGCCTCACACAGAGCACTGGCTGAGGTGGCATCTGTTTGGATGCTCTCTCTCTAGCCCAAGACATGCTTTCTTCATGACTCTTCCTGGGAAGGCAAAGCTCTGTAGCCCGAACCTGCAGAGTCTCCACAAGAGGAAAACAGGCGGAGGAAACGGAACTGAAACTCACAGGGTGCCGGAGACTGCAGATCACAGAACACGAGAAAACCAGCCAGGAGCCTCAACACCCCGCGTCCATGACTCAGAGGACTGGGATGTGCACACTGAAGCAAACACCTGCATGCAAGGCTTTCCTTTCTGCTTTCTCATTGAACTAGACAAGTCACCCTTCCTTGGTGGTGGTTTTCCTTCATCTGTAAAATAGGGGTAATGACAGCTATCTTGGGATCAATCATTGATAAGGATCAAACGTGATCTCGACTATGAAATGTTGTGTGATAGTGAGAAGATGAGCTCTGGAGCCTGGTCCACACAATGATGCCTAGTAACTGTGTGACCTTGGGCAGCCCACTAAAACTCTCTGAACCTCAGTTTACCTGTTAAGGGCTTAAGTTAGCGTGACATAGATAAAGTACCCAGTGTTTGGTATAGTACCTGATACCCAGGAGCACCCAAATAATGAGAAAACCATCTCGTTCTACAGTTATTAATAAAATATAAAATTCCACACAAAAACATGGGGCATATTCTTCAGATGGATGGAAAGATAGGAACCAACACCAGGTACTGTGCACCCAGAGTAAACCATCAATGAGGAAGGAAAGACACGATCACATCCAGAAAACAAAGCTAAAGATCTGTAGTTGAAACTCAGAAATATCTGATAAATATTTCACAAAGAAGGTTTTGAAAAGAACAGGATTAAAGGATGGGTAAACTAAGACATGGAAAGGATTGAGCATCTACAAATAGTACCAGCAAGGAAAATGGAGTCATCGGGGTATTCAACCTGTGGAAGAGGAGAATACCCTGTGCCAGGTTTCTATGCAGCTAGAGTTAGCGATGGACCAGGAGTGGACCCTCAGGCATAAGGGACAACATGGAAAAAGCTAATATGGCATAAAAACATTAAATGTGGACCAAGGGGAGAGGGAAAAATCACCTTCTCTGCAGTGAGCCTCAGTTAGACATCTCCCTGGCCTATTATAAAGAAGGCCAGGACAGGGGTCTCAGCCTTCCACGGGCTGGTCCTTCAGTTCTCCTTCAGTACAAAGGAGGAATGGAATGCACACCTGGGCCTTTAATCCCCAAATCCCACCACAGCCTGAGCCACCTCTGATGATGATGAAAATAAGGAAGGTCACAGAGCAAATTCTACCATATCAGGTCCCTGTGGAATGTACTTTGGATCAGTGCTAGATATCACTGTTGATGGCCAAAACCACCAGCAGAGGTCTGCAGTTTGCTGACACACCTTCTCAGGTGCCCAAACAAGCAGGAAGACCAAGCTCCTGGCATGGGATGTGCAGCACTCAGTGAAGTTCTGCCCCCCAAGGTCTTTTTTTTTTTTTGGTACCAGGGATTGAACCTAAGGGCACTTAATCACTGACCCACAACCCCAGCCCTTCCTTATTTTATTTGGAGACAGGGTCTCACTCAGTTGCTTAGGGCCTTGCTAAGTTGCTGAGGTTAGCTTTGAACTTGCAATCCTCCTGCTTCAGCCTCCTGAACTGCTGGGATTCAGGCACCTGCTATTATGCCCATCCCCTACAGTCTTCTTAAACAAGGAAACTTCTCTGGCCTGCCAGCCAGTGCTCACAGAAGGTCCCCCGAGACATTTGGGAATCACTGTTTCTTTTCTGCATTTTCTAACACAGAGAAAGAGATGTTTCCCATCATTCCTTGTACTCTGTCTCCAAGTGCTCAACAACTTATCCCATGGCCTTTGCCCCAGCCATCCCTGGTGGCACCATGCACAAGACCCAAAGCTGAGGAAGCCTCATTCCCACCCATTAAATCTTGGCCTAATGGATTTCCCATTGATCTTACTGCAGCCCAGGCGTAAAACCCAGAGCTCCAAGCAGCACAGTTACTCCTTAAAATATCCTTATAAATCTTGGCCTTCGTATTTATTAATTACAGCCCAGCCAGGACTCTGGCTGTTAGTTCTGGGTGGCAACTTCATTTATCCCCACATTAAATGCTTTATTTCCGTGGAGCTATCTCAGTCTCACTCCATTACTTAGCTCCCCACCATTAAACTTCTCCAGGCATGTCACACAGGCATTTTTGTTGTTTTTTTTTTTTAAAAAAGAGACACCCCCCCACCATCTATTTTCAAAACAGAGAGAAAAGAGCCAACCTAATCTAAAACTCTATAGTAAACAAGACTACTGCCTAATAACAGCTAAATATTTATTGAATCTTTCCATGTCCCAAATGCTATGCAGTGGACTTGGAATACATTAGCCTATTTAATCCACGGGCAATTCTATAAAACAAATACTCCTATTATTAACTCGGTTTTATAAATTGAAGATCAGAAAGTGGGATTATTAAGTAAGTGACCCAGAGGTAAGTGGGTACAGTCACCACTAGAATTCATGTTTGTCTGACTGCGAAGCTCGCACGCTCCTCTGCAGAGCTACGGTGAGTAATTCTAAAATGGTAGCTGCATACCTTATTAAGCCAGAGTGTAGATATGATTTAAAAAATAAATACAGTATATGGAGTTCAAAAGATCTTTTAAATTATTTAATTTTATTTTCATATTTAGAAGATGGGCCAGGGGTCCCCAAGGGGCAGGGCAATGTGCCAGGGTCCCAAGCTCTGAGAGGCAGAGCCAAGCCCGGGACCCAGGGCTCCTCTCTGTAAGCCTAGTGCTCTCTTAGCTGTGATATGCTGCTGTCCAAATGCCTTATAACACCAGGATTTGTTTTCCCCTGGGTACAGATGAGAGCAGAAGGACCCGTCGAGCGCCTTTAAGTGAATTGAATGTTCCTTCTGCAAATGAAAATGAGAAGCTAATTAGATTCCATAATCACTCTCTCCGATTAAAGTTGCCCTTCTTCCTCCCCCAACTTCCGCACCTCTGACGTCCCTCAGTTGTGACCTGCACTCTTCCCTGCTGAGTCTGTCCTGATGGTGAAACCTCATTTATTTTATCCTCCAAGCACCGGCAACCCTAGTTGGCTGCATGGGGCTCGGAAGCCTGCAATCAGGCTTGCTCCCACTGTTGAGAGCCAGCAGGTTCGTACTTTTCCATGGTAAAGCTGTGGCACGGGAGGCACAGACTCAAAATCTCACAGATGCCAGGCAGGGAACTGAAATAAGAGGAGTACATAGGCTCAGGACAGCTGGAGTGAGTGCCAGGAGCTGCGGGGACCACGGGGACCAACGCCTCCCACACAGAGCAGCTGCTCCTCATCTCCAGCCAGTGGTTGCCGTGGATTCCGTCTCCCTGACAAAGACCCACAAGGGTGGGTACTTGGTCTCATTCCCCATTGCATTTCCAGTGCAGGCAGAGGGCCTGGCACAGAGGAGGCAGTGAGTATTTCCTGAATGAACAGGACCTCCACTTTGGAAGCTCTACAGTGGAAGTGCTGGCTACACCACTCCAGATCTCTTGGAGAGCGGCAGTGCATGCGATTTCTCTGCAACAGAGGAACTGAGTAGGGATGTTAATTTCAACCCCTGGGCACTTCCGGCCATAACTGAGGGCCACTTCATGCCTGTACTTTTCTACTCCATCCTCTCCAAGGCACTAGTTCCAGTAGATTCTGCCCCTGAAGAAGAGACCCAGTTCTGTCTCTTCCGTCACTGCGGCTCCAAGCAGGTCATGTGTGTGCTCACGCATGTGCAGGTGCGATTGTAAGTCACTTTGTAAAATGTCAAGTGTGATCTCGCCGCTCATTAATAACACCTAACTCTGCATTTCTGGGTAAATAACTAAATTGGCACTTTTCTTGTGTCATCTCTTCCTGCCTGTGTTGTCACTTTGGTACTTCAAGGGATCAACATGTGGAAACTCTTTTCGTTCTTTAAAAACGTTATCTTCAAAGGAAAAATTGACATGATGGCTCCATATCGTCGCTTTGCCCTACACAGGTTTTAAATTTAAAAACGCAATTTGTTTTTTATTTCCTGGCATCACACATAATAATTGGTTCTAATTAGGAATAAATTGCTTCGAGGAATGAGTAAAGCATTCAATTGTGTTAGAAAGAAATGTGCCTTTAATGTCAAGGCATCCCAGAGAATCTCACTCATTTGAATTAAGCATGGAGACTGGGGTAAGGAAACTGGAGGTCTTCCTAAGGGAGGCTGGGGGATGGAACAGGAGGGGAAGATGGATCAGAAGCCAAGGAAACCAAGAAGTCAGATTCCGGGGCTGGCTGCAATGTGACAGTTAGCTAAAAGGACATCCAATGACAAGCTTTCTCCCTTCAAAAGCCAAATGAAACCAGAGGCCCCATCAAAGGAGGTGATTTATAACACAGAAAGCTCTAGAAATATTTGAATCCGTCCAGGATACTTTCTGCCTAGAAAGCAGAGGTCTTACAGCCAGGGGTGTTGAAACAGACACCAATGGATGGAAGCACCGATGAGCAGAATCATTGGCCATCATGCATAGTGTAGGAGCACAATGTCCTTAAAGTTGGATCTGAAGCTTCAAGGCCTAGAATGAGGAACAATAAGAGGAAATGGGGCTGAGAGACAGACAAGCCAGACATCCACGGGCGAGGCTGTGAGTGAAATATCAACATTCCCTCTGTGGCTCTGGCTCCATAAATCCCTAGCTAATAAGGTGCCTATGACAGAGGTGCTCTTTAATAACTCGGAGGGTACAATAATTGATGGCACAGCCAGCTGGTTGCTGCAATCAGATATAAATTAAATCATCTTTATTGTTTTATGTTTCCTCCAACTCCCTGCCCCCACTCAGGCCAACCACGTTTTCCGCCTCTCCTAACCGACCCTGAGAGGGGAGTCTGTCTGCACCACTCATCAAGTGACAGGGGCTGGAGGGGAAGAGAGAGAAGAGGAGGAGAAACCAGTTTCCAAAGGATTCTTGGTTCCTGGAGCCAGAGATCCATCTCTTGTTTTGTTTCAAAGGCTGTGACTTCCTTCCTGTGCCTTCTTGGTCCATGTGCACCTCAGGTCTGGCAATGGCCACACATCCTTCAGGTCAGAAGCATGGCATGAGGGCCTGTGGCCGTCCAGGCCCTGAGCTCCATGTCAGGTACAAGTTGACCAAACAAGGTCATTTCCACACACACACACACACACACAAAAAAAAAAAAAAAAAAAAAAAAAAAAAATTTAAAAAAAACTCTCAGGTCAGCAGAGAGGGAAGAAGACAGACACACAGACTGTCATGACAGGGGTGACAGGTGCCACAATGGGGACCCTAAGAGAACAGAGGTGGTCAATGTAACCATATGGAGGCAAAAACAGGTGGGTTTCTAGAAGCCTACGGGATAGATGTCAGCCTCCGCTAATTCCCTTCCTCTTCTAGAAGCAGGAAAGTGTCAAAGAAGATGCACACTAAGTTATTAGGGTAAAATGAGTCAGACAAGGCCTCTTCTGCAACCCTTCCCCTCTCCCTCTCCACCACCTCTGTCCTGAGATGAGGCTTCAGGCATCAATTAAGGGCCTTAAAGAGGCCAACCTGGGGTTCCCTAGCTGCCCCTTGGTCACTCCGTGGTGATCATGCATCTTTTACTCACTGCCTTGCCAGACAATTGCTGAGTGCCTGTTGTGTGCCAGGTAGTATGCAGAGCTGAGGACAAAGACACATGCAGGATTCGCACCCTGCCTCTGAGGTTACAACCCTGTGAACAAAGGACAGTCACGAGACGGGGTGTGACTAAGGCCCAGATCCTGGCACCAGACTGCCCAAGTCTATCATCTTGGCTCTGCCTCTTACCAGCTGGATGACCCTGAGCAAGTTCCTGATCTCTCTGTGCCTCAGTTCCTCCTCTGAATAATGGGTGTATAGTACCTACCATGTAGGGCCACTGGGAAGGAAACAGGCTCAGTAAATATTAAAGGCTTAGAAACAAAGGGCTAAGAGCTGTTAGGTCTACGCAAACACATTGCACCTACTATCAGTAATATTAACAGAACCATTAATGAAACTAGAAACCATGTGATTACAGACACGGAGGAGGAAGCGCTGTGCTTGCTGGGTGGGAGGCTTCCCAGAGGAGGTGGAGTTTAGACTCATGAACAAAGAAGTCTTTGCAACCCTCGTCTCTAAGCACCTCCCCAGCAGCCAGTCAAAAGTCACTATTGGGTACCAAAGACAGAGAAAAGGACCCCAACAAAGAGAGAGGAGAGTCAGGCTAAGGGTGACATAGAGGTGTCTCCTTAGAGCACAGGTATGTTCCCGAAGGGTTAACAGGTGGCAGAATCCCATCTGAAGGCAGCAGGAGATATTGCCACCAAAACAGTGCTGGAAAAATCTGGCTCCTACAGGTGGTCCTTAGCCCCCTGTCAGCTGAGTAAGAATGGCCTTGGGCTGGCGTCCCTCCTCTCCGGGAGATAAAGAGCTCACACAGCCTGTGCGAAGCTTATCGCCTTGTATGGGGGTATCTCTCCCAGCTTCAAGTTCAACATATGTTTCTTTGTTCTGCTTCAGCATGTAAGTCAGTGGCCCTAAGGTGTACCCCCTCTCAGTATTTCAGACTGTACAGGAGAGGGATTGGATCCTTTTACTGCAGCCTGAGACAAGTGTATACCCACATGTTGTCCTGTGCCAGCTGCCTGGGGGACCTGCTAGCCAGGCTCTACTGGAGCCGTGTCAGTGAAGTCTTGGTCTCTTCTGTGCTTAACTGTGTTATGTTTGCTTTGGCAACTGCACTACCAAGTTGCAGTGGGCAACAGTATTTGAACTTCCATTCCTGGGCCACCAGTGAGACCACCGTGGCTGTCCACCAGCAGTGGATATCTGGCTATCCACCAGAGTACTGATCAGCTTCTAACATTGGTAACCTGGTGCAGTATTCTGCTAGACAAGGGGCCTCCAGCATCCTGCCTCAGGTAAATTACTGCCTAGACATCTCTTTTTACCTGTGCATATGCATTTTAGCTATCTACCATTTTTGATCATATAGACTTTGGCTATTTGGTGGGCTTGGACCTTGGGCATGTTTCTAAGCCTCTCAAAATCTGTGGTTCTAAAATCTTTAAAAGGAAGATAGTATCTGTATTCCGAAGGTGGTTGAGATAAGTTAAAGAGTCTACTCTCACTAAATATGTCAGAATAATGGACTGAATGATAAATATTCAGTAACTGGTGGTTGTTTTGTTAAGTTACGATGATGCTGATGATGGCGCTGGTGACAGTGATGGCAAGAACATGGGGACACAAGATCATAAGTGGGTCATAAAATTCCCTCTCCCTCAATTGAGCTCCTCCAAGGATTCTGCCCATGTAATAATTGCCATCTCTCCATTGAGTTTAATATTCTCTGTAGGTTAGAAGCATCTCTTTTCAAAGAAATATAGATTAGGCTCATTGTTGATTGCATTAGATTTGGGGGAGAAAGAAAGAGAGAGAGAGACATGTTTGTTCACACTGAATTCTTAAAATGTCTGGCTCTGGCTCCCCAATCATAGACTGCAGCTCAGCAGACAAGGGCAAATAGCAAAGTGATGTGGATGTGATCAGATGGGACTATAAATCATGATGAGGGCTGAAATTGAATCAAATGGGGGCACCTGTGCACATTATTTCAAAATGCAAGCAACGTGGAAAACACAAACTTGTGAAATAAACCAAGTTGTTGGCCACTGGGCAACATTTCTTTACACTTTCCCTTTGGCCTGGGCTGCTTTCTGGGTCCCAGTAGCAATTCAGAGGTCCACACAAGCATTTCACTATATATTTTACTATCAACAGAAATTTCCCAACACTACCCCCGCCAACAAAAGGCAGCAAACCGCTGTGCAGACAGGTGAGCTAGAGAAACCAGGTGGAGCTGAGCTGGGGCGGAGGG